AGCTTCATTGTTTTATCAGTGGAGGTTTGCTAAAGTGGGGTTCGCACGTTGTGGGAATCTACACAGCAGAGTATCCAATTTTAGCAACTCTAGGAGATTCACAAAAAAAAACCCCACCCCTGAAGCACGTCAGGGCAGGGGTGACTCTTTGCCAAAATTGTCCCCATTTCCAGCCTGCTCCATGACACCCTGACATGTTGGATCACGGCCACACGTTTCTTCCTGGGCACGTGTGAAATGTCTCAATTCCTTTTTGTAACAATGTCTTCCAAACCCACAGGGGACGCCGCCGAACTCCGACTCATCCTGGTGGGAAAGTCCAGAGTAGGGAAGAGCGCCACAGGCAACACCATCCTCGCCCGGAAAGAGTTCGAGTCCCTGGGGGGAAAAGCCACCACCGTGAGGTGCCAAAGGGGTCAAAGAAGATGGCAGGACAGGAAGATCTCCGTGGTCGACACACCCAACATTTTCGATTCCGAAAACCACAGTGAGATGGTGCAAAATGAGATCAGGGCTTGCGTCGAACTCTCCCAGCCTGGCCCCCACGCCCTGATCTTTGTGACCCAGGTGGGGCGCTTCACCGCCGAAGATGTGACAGCTGCAAAACGTGTCTGGGATATCTTTGAGGCCGAGTCGGCCAGGCACACGATCGTCCTCTTCACCCGCAAGGAGGATTTGAGAGGGGAATCCCTGCAGGAGTACGTCCAAAAGCCGGACAACCGCAATCTGCGGGAGCTGATCCAGAGGTGTGGGAACCGCTACTGTGGCTTCAACAACATGGCCGCGGGAGTCGAGTGGCAGGCGCAGGTCTCGGAGCTGATGGAGATGGTGCAGAGTCTCGTTTTCGAGAACGGGGGGAGATACTACGTCAACTGGCTTCACCAGTTGTCCACGGTACGGGATCAGCGTGTCACAGAGCAGAATCAAATGTTCTCATGTTAGGACAGGCAATCAGGGAGGGAGGAGGGTGGTTAATGGGTGGAGAGCATGCAATGCCCCCCCCAAGAAAGGGGTCCCCCAGCACTACTTCCCCCTTTTCTCCTCCACATGTATCTCCTGCCATCCCTTCCCTCTGCCCTCCTTTTTTTCCTTCCTCGGTCCCTTCAGAACATCTGAACCCCTCCCCCCCCGGTTAGCTGGGGGCAGTGGTGGGATTCCAATATGTGAACAACCGGTTCTCTATGTGGATGCCGCATCCGGAAGTCCATTCTGGGCCTGGGCAATAAAAAATTAGCTACCGGTTCTACCGAACCGGCTAAATCCCACCACTGGTTGGGGGGCTCCAGAGCACCTTCTGGGCGATGCCTTGAATGGGGTGGGGGACCAGGTTGCTGTTTCTGGGCATGAACGGGGTGGCAGCTGGCCTTCTGCCCCACTGGACACGCCGAGGCCTCTGGGAGTCAAGACCCCCGTCTGACCCGTGTTTCCTTTCCACTCTTCCAGGCAGATACGGATGAGGCAGCCAAGCCAGGTAAGTGAGGAGGCCACGTCTGGTGTTTGGGGGGCTGAAGAGTAACAAAGAGGATTCGGAAGCTGGAGGCTAAAACATCGGAAGATCGGGTGCAGGAATTGGGATTGGCCATTCTAGAGAAAAGAAGGAAGGGAGGGGACTAGATAGTAGGATTCCAGTATTTGGGGGGCTGCCACAAACAGCACTCCTCACTAGCACTGATGATGTTACCTACATTGGGTCATGAAACGTCTGCAAGAAAACCACACAGTTCAGAGGACCACCGAGGACCTCCATTCCTCCACCTCCTCCTCCTCCTCCTCCCTATATCCTGATCTTGAGGCAGACTAGGTGCTGCCTGAAACCTAGAGTCAAACACAAGCTAAGGATCAGTCTGGATGAGACACACACACACAAACACACACACCCGGCTTCTCTCCAGCTCCAGTTTCCCTGATGGATGCTCCTCTTCATCCTGCGGATGGAGAATGGGAAGAGCGGATGATGGTCGTTACGGCAGCAGGGAGACCAGGTAATTCTTCTCATCTCCTTGACGTAGGAGGGGTCTCTTAGCACAAGGGACCGCAAACATTTGGGTACCAGGGACCGGTTCCGTGGAGAGGGGTTTTTCTGTGGACCGGGGGGGGTGCGTTGGTTTCGTGTGCTTCGCTTATTTGCGTGGCCCGGTTGCCGGCATGCTGTGGACTAGTGGCAGTTCAGGGACCGGGGTTTGGGAACCCCTGTCTTAACAGCTGTTTTACATTATGGTGGATCACCCCCCCAAAAAAATTACTTAAGATCGGATCCTGGAATTACAGGCCCTGCAGCACCCCAATGGTCATTTGCACTTCTGACTGACCCCAAGGACACTGCAGTACCCCCTACCTATTCTACCCATCCTGCCACATCACTTCAAGCATTTCCCTTCCCCAACACGTTCCTGCTGGTCTTTCTCCTTCCACACCAGGTCCCCCTAAACCAGGGGTCGGCAACCATAAGCACTCAAAGAGCCACTTGGACCCGTTTCCCACAGAAAAGAAAACACTGGGAGCTGCAAAACCTGCGTGCGCACATGCGCGCGCACCAGTGGGGGGCCTTGATTGAAGAGTTTAATTAAAAAGAAATAGAGGCTGTTGTGCATGAGTTCTCTCTCTCTCTCTCCCTCTCTCCCTCTCTCTCTCTTTGTCTCCCTCCCTCTCTCCCCCCCTTCTCCCTCTCTCTGATCTTCTGCTCACCTGGCAAGCTGGCTTCACGTTGTTCTCCAACAAGCTGACACACATTCTTATTGAGCTGGCTCTCTCCTGCCCTTAGGTCTGCCACTCCTCTTCCCCCACTCAGTGAAAGAGAGAGAGGGAGGGAGGCAGAGAGAGAGAGAGAGTCTGTGTGTGAGAGTGTGTGTGTGTGAGAGAGAGTGTCTGTGAGAGTGTGTGTGTGAGAGAGTGTGTGTGTGAGAGAGGCACTTGCAATTCCCTTCTCTCTCTCTCTCTCTCTCTCTCTCTCTCTCTCTCTCTCTCTCTCTCTCTCTCTCTCTCTCTC